TCACAGGAGACTTTGCGTGGGCGAGATATTATTTGCAGATATATGGTCTGACCTCCGAAGAAATGGCCACGAAGAGATGACAGAATGACCTTCAGAGAGAAAACAACAAGTCAGAAGACACTGTTTCTTCGCTAATAATAACGAGTGATAATGTACATGAAAATTTAAAAACATCTGTTGAATTCCACAATAAACGATCTGTTGCCTGGCCCTTATCTTCTGTCGTTACAGTACTACAATTAACTTAGAAGTAATCACGTCACAACAAGTCAATACCATCTGATTTGCAAACATAAGTTCCTGCAAAGTAGTCCATCTAGACAGTTCATACTACCAGTTAGGACTTCGTACAACCGCACTGTGATGCACCCCATATGTAAATGGTATATATCGAGGGACACCGTAAAAGTCAAAATTGAATGTAACATGAAAAGAAAGTAATAACAGTGAGTGTCGTAATAATAAGATAAGAACTTGTAATACCAGTGTAAGGCTGATGATCTAACTGCCTGATATGGGGACTTAAAAGAATGGATTATCCTCGACGTGGTGAGCAAGGTCAGTCTGGAAACAAACCAGTCAGCACTGGTCGACGTAAGATAACGCCCACTCCTTTATTGATCATGATTATAGATTAATTGACACAGATAAGATGATGTGCTAATAGCATCATGAGGTGTTGCTATGGTCACGTTGCTTTCTGCAAGAGTCATTCTAGCAAGTGGCGAATGTGTTGCAAGATGTCAAGAGGATGCCTTTAACTGGAAGGCGTAGGACGTCGTCGGTGAGTGAGGTTTTGCTGTGGGTATGCCTGTGGTGTGTTGGCTTTGTTGTTTGTTTTCCATTTCAGCTTTTTCCGTGTGGCCCAGGTTCTCGCAATGGCATCCAAGTCAACGTGTATTGGTCGTGATGGAAAAAAGGGATGGATCGCTTTATTGCCGGGGAGTGTCAGTGTAGTTGAAGATTGAACGATCAATTCATGGTTGTTCGCTCAAGCCCAACTCTTCCATATTTTTCGCGGGAGTCATCAATGCTGCAGTCATCTTTTCATCGTTCGCTGGAAGAGAGAAAAGCTATCAGAAGTATTATGGTGATTTATTGTTATGACATTCATTCTTAGACTTTGTGTACAATAACCTAATGGTCGGCTCTGTATTGGTGCAAGAATAAACGGTTCTTGAGTCACCAGTTTGTGTTCTGTTTTTTTGCGTTGGTTATTACGCATAGTTCCTGAAAGTCTTCCAAGGACAGTGTGAACTCCAGTATAGTTAGACCTGGACATTGACATAAATTCGTCACAGTTGTTTGCAAACCACGCGTAACTAACTGTTTGCTATAGTGACTGCGTACGGGAAATCAAAAATACAAATGACCGCCACTGTTATAACCAATGAAAGACGAGAAAACCAGAAGCGGGGTAAATCTAAAACGCAATAGCTTTTATCGTCATCCCCAACGAAAGCAATAGCGTTTATATTACGAAGGTGGAATACGTCTTCATGATGTGCAAATACAAAAGCTTGTTTGACTTTTGAAAATGCCCCCTCCTCTACTATATTCCGTTTCTCAGTTATCGGTACAAAGCGATATTATCTGACATAAGTGCAGCAAGTATAACACAGCTGATCTAGACTATGCTACTGATATTATCTTCATCCGAAAAATATTTTCATGAGAAGTTTCACTGAAAAACCATATGAAGTTTATAACTTACCACTAAACCACCATAACGATGGGCAACGACTCCACAATACCAGGGATATGCAGTAAAGCCACTCAAGAAACACGGTTTGGCGGATATAAGAGTTCGAATACAGTGAATGTATATGAGCCAGTGGTAGTGATTTTGAGCCGATATCACCAGTAATAAATAATGATTGGTTCTTAGGTTCTTCAAGATTCCAGCAGGACGCCCCTACGTGACTGGCTGGAACCAACTGTCAAAGACTTCATGACCTCATGCCAGACTTTGGTTCTATCATTAATAATTCTTTTCTAACTCAATATCATGTCAGCTAACATGTCTAGCCAAAGAAAGCGACGGTTCTATTTGCTCAAAACGTGACCTAGCCATCTGAATCGATGAAGCCTCATCGATCAACTTCCCCTCATTTGCTAACACTACGCTCAAGTTCAATACATTAAAGAACTTAAACGGGGCATTGGAAGCAAACATTTGCGGTCGAAGGTAGTTAGCTTATTCATATATCTCACTTTCAGTGGCTACGACTCACAACCATAAGGTGGGATGGAGCTAACTACTGCGCAGTGCAGATGTTGTTCGATAGATATTGGGATTTCACGTCTGTCTCGGCGTAAGCCGGTAAACGCCTCAAGGACGTTTTGTATCCATGCTGAGATTTTGTCAGCAATCGTTCTGTTGGAGTTGATGAAACTCCTGAAACATGTAAATTCATCAAAACGCTACTACTACTTCACAACCAGATTCATTTGAAGCTATTCCAAATTTCCTGTCGAATGATTAACTTTGGCTGAAATGCTAGGTCGCTGTTGACATGTCGACTCTCAGTACGCACTTTTGACGATGCTTTGAGGCAAACATTATGTTACGTGGTGGTGGCTAACATTGAAAACCACACATGTCGCCTTATTCAAGATTCACCAGCTGGATAGATATGTCTCTATTGGATATCACTTTGGCACTTGAAATGATGAGAGCTTGGTTAGAGCCCCAGAGTGATGCAGACACATTTGGCCTACAAATCTCAAGTAGGACGATACGCCCATTTCTGATTCTACTGCTAGCCTCTACTAATTGAATATTCGGTATGCTGTTGTAAGACAATAGTGGACTGGAACTCGGCGGCCAGCATGCTGATAAAAAACAACAATCAGGGCTGGCCTACACCAAGTGTTTTTATTTACTGTTGACTGGAAACAGCTGACAAGCAAAACTCTGATAGCAATGGAGTACCTTACAGAAAGCGTGTTTCTCACATAATGTATGTGCTTAACTGACCAGATATAGTGTGCCCAAGCGGAGTGTGAATTGGCATGGCTGTGTGACTGCATGCCGTTAGCTTAAACAACCAGTCTACTTAAATGAATAGGGCGAAAAACACACTTTGATTGCGTCCCTGAATGAAGTTTTCCTGCAAGAAATTATTTGTACAGCATTTGAAACATAAGCTGCCACAATCGGCGACATCAGCATATATATATATATCATTTGGCTTCATCGTGTGACGATGAATACACTGACTGTGACGTACATCTGCTTGTTAAATGCGCTCGTGAACACTGCCCAACAAAGGCAGAAGGTTAGTGTGATTTTAGTTCGCTACTAAAACTATTTGTGAATTCACAACCTTCAGCTTCGTGTAAGGGATCTTTTAAATTCTTGAACAAGACACGATCATATCTCTCAAGCGTGGTTAGATCTAAACAAATCTCATTGTAAATCGTTCATTGAATACTTAGTGGAACATAAGGAAAATTAAAAAACATAGCTTAGTTATAGAATTGCATGCAGTTACATAAAACCACACAATATGATGGATCCAAGTAACAGTAGTTAAACCTAATATAGAGTAATGGAGGGAGAGATCAGTAATTGACGCTTTGTCAACTCAGAATACATGCGTTAAGAATAATTCGAGAACCGCCTCAGGCATCCGTATCATCCTATCAAACTTATGGAAAATTGGAAAGGAAGAGGAAAGCTATAAAAGCCGAGCTTCGTAGATACAATTATTTATATGACTATGAAAAACACTGAATCGTGTTCGGGACATTGTCATCTAGTAAAAAACGGTTTCGGTGTGTGTAGTACTGTGGTGAGAACTGTTTGCTAGACAAAATTGGTAGACAGAAATTTACGTCAATGTTTACGTCCCAAATCATAGTCATGAGAAAAGAACAAGAACAGAGACTATCTCGAAAACCAATCACAGGAGACTTTGCGTGGGCGAGATATTATTTGCAGATATATGGTCTGACCTCCGAAGAAATGGCCACGAAGAGATGACAGAATGACCTTCAGAGAGAAAACAACAAGTCAGAAGACACTGTTTCTTCGCTAATAATAACGAGTGATAATGTACATGAAAATTTAAAAACATCTGTTGAATTCCACAATAAACGATCTGTTGCCTGGCCCTTATCTTCTGTCGTTACAGTACTACAATTAACTTAGAAGTAATCACGTCACAACAAGTCAATACCATCTGATTTGCAAACATAAGTTCCTGCAAAGTAGTCCATCTAGACAGTTCATACTACCAGTTAGGACTTCGTACAGCCGCACTGTGATGCACCCCATATGTAAATGGTATATATCGAGGGACACCGTAAAAGTCAAAATTGAATGTAACATGAAAAGAAAGTAATAACAGTGAGTGTCGTAATAATAAGATAAGAACTTGTAATACCAGTGTAAGGCTGATGATCTAACTGCCTGATATGGGGACTTAAAAGAATGGATTATCCTCGACGTGGTGAGCAAGGTCAGTCTGGAAACAAACCAGTCAGCACTGGTCGACGTAAGATAACGCCCACTCCTTTATTGATCATGATTATAGAATAATTGATATAGTGTCGGTGATTTTTTGCATCATAGATTATTGTAAAATATATACTGTGGCTGATAATAGTAAAGTGGCTGTATGTTTTAGTTCAAATAGAACGGGTTAGAGGCAAGAGGTAGCTGTCGTATAATGTTACTTACACAGTCAAACGGGAAACGTGATCAATGGCCTTTGTTACCAACTCCATGTTCCTATTCAACTCAAAGTTTCGCAGAATATAACACTGACTTCTATTGTTTAAGAAAAAGTAAAACCTAACTTCTGCACCTCACTACGCTTTATCGCTTTAATACGATATCTGACTCGACCGGACTGCTAATCAATTATCGACAGATTGAGACCGTCCCCAATAATTATAATGAAGATATTAATAATAGTAGTAATGGTTGTAAATGCATTTTCTTAATAAATGAATCTGTAAAAATAAACATAATAAATTTTAGTGATATCTCTTTAAGTATTTGACTGAATTCGTACAGAAATAATATTTGCACCACGAATAAACAACTGTCCCTTATATTCACTTTCATTGTTCACTTGCTTTACAGATGCCAACGATAAGGACGATGATGGCTGTAAACTTTTCCAAAGTGCTCTGAAATACAAAATAAAATACGAGATTAAAAAAAGAAAACAACAAAATAATGGTCAGACTATGTGAGTTACGATTACATGGATTATTAAAACATAAAACTTGGTACATTATGAGGAACTAAGAGACACGCCACATGAGATCTCATAGTTTGTGTATGAACTGAGATAGTGCGCGGACGCCTTAACTGAAACAGATGATCGTCTTAAAGAGTCATGTCCCCCTCCCGCTTCCGAGCCTTTGACTCGAAGTCCGATTCATAAGTCAGTGGAGCAGCGCTTTTATAGTTTACTGTGACCTCAAAAATTCATACGTCATTCTACCCTTTTGCAGTCCATGTACATCATATAGGTTTGGAATTATGAATTTTTAGCTCCCCTAAGTAAACCGACAAGTACATCAATCCAGTTGTAAGCATCAGACGTTCGTATTCGCCCTTCCAGTTTTGTGAGAAACATCCCCACCTACACCGCCTGAAAGCGGCAGTGAATAAGACATCACTGTCAGAAGCCATGAAACGCGACCACATGGTAGCATTTCCAGAGGGAGATCGTAGCCCATCTACCTTGAATCGTACCAGGTGGCAAGTGTTATCTATTGCTCCACTTAGACCATCTCCATGGATTAGATGACGACTTAAGGTGATGTGGAAATATGACTAACCGTAAAATTTGAAGCAATAACAACTTTCAAATCACCAGCTCGGTTACCAGAACCAAGTACTCGCCAGGTTATTTTTTCACTTTTTATTTTTACATAGCTTGACTCCGCACCCTATTTTTGGTATAAGTATGGAATTTTCAGCATGTGATATCGGTAGCCCAAAGTTTGCAGACCGACCATTGATATCAGGTGTGCGTCGGGGGGGGCGGGAAGGATCATCGGACTCCGGACCATGTGCATGGTCGGCGAGAGCCCTAACCATTGTGCCATAGACGTACACTGTTATCAGCTTAGATAATATCCTGGCTAACAACCGAGTACTTATTAAAAGAAGGGAATAAAATGTTGAGTGTAGATATAATGTTAGGTATGAAGAAGTTAGATTGATTTAGTTGGCTGGGACATGCTGTCCTATAGGCACCTTTGGTGATCAGCATCAAATGAAGTAGAATTATCAGTAGTTTGTTCTTAGGGATGTGATTTGGTTCAAGTTTGACCACGGATCGATATCGGTTAGAGGATCATTGAAAACCAGCTCGGGATACCTGTTTCGTTCTACTTTGAGGTTCATCATCAAGGGTTCAACTGCCGACCGACGCGCTCCTAAATCTCTGAAATGCCGGCAAGAATTGTAAAGAAGGAAGGTTGGGCATGAGGCTAGCAACTCCACTCCATAAGCAAAACATCCGTGCTACTGAAGCTTGGAGCCCTATGTTCCACTGAGGATGCAAAATAGTACAATAAATAATACGATTAAAACCTAAAGCCATCATTCAATAGGTGTTTCTTCATGAGATTTTTGACATTATTCGGTTAAAATCAACACAATCTCTACAAATGATCGGGATCAAAACTAAGGAGGTATGTATGAGAAGACAACTACAGTAGCATTAGACTAACGACTCATTATTGATTGAAGTATACCCCCATGATATCTATCTGGTTAGCGATTTATCTTTGACTATGCGACGTCACATCTGCCAGTGAAATTAAACAACTTCCCCCACCCTAACAAATTCATTTTTGTTGCCAATAATATACTTCAATGTACCTCTTTTTAACAACCGAAAACAGTTAGAGAAGTATAAAAAGCTGGGGAGCATTGAATGGATAGCTGTTTCCTCTTCACTTTAGGAATTTTCGGCAGTATGCACTCATGCGTCGAACCCAGCATCTTGAAGTTTCAAAACTATCCCATTGACTGCCCCACCATATTGGAAGCTGGAATTTAATCGTATATATATATATATATATATATATATATATATATTCATCATCAACTGTCTTCGCCTCATACTGTAAATCAGATGGCTAATCGGCGTGGATAAGTGATAAGAAACTCCTGCAATGAACCGAATTAGGAACCTGTCACTCAATAAATATGCTGAGGGAAACGGCGATGGATTAGACACAACGATGAGGAGATCGTTAAGTGATATACACACCAGACAGGGCTGTCGAGTGGCAGCCAAATGGGTGAACGACGAGTTGGGCATCAAAGTTTGTTACGAAGGCGATCATATGAGTAGGAGAAGATGACACGTAATGGGTAATTGTGTGACGAGATGTGCCTTGGATGAAGTCCTGTTTTTAACTCTGAACCCAAGGGAATAAAAATAATAATAATAATATATAACACCATTGCTATTCTCTAACTGACATCAATTCATCAATAAAATCTACACTGAAATAAGTTAAAATCCATAAGGGATCTAATACCTGAACACAACAATTGACAAATAATAATGAATAGTAAAAATAAACATTAAACTCACATATCTGAAAGTTCTGAGATACCTCTTTTTTGAAAATTAACCATAGATGGTTTCCAATTATGAGTATCATTAGCAACTTGAATACTTTTATCTGCACGTTGAACATTATTATTATTATCGTGAGTATTTGTCGCTTCCATTAATACATTAGTTATATTTTCCTTCACATAGTCTACACTTTGAGATAAATCAAGCTGACTCGTTTGTCTTGCTTCGAACAATACTTCATTCGATATCGCTAAAATGATATATAACGGGAAAAATTAAGAATAACTATTAACTTATAGGACGGTGAGAGGAAATTTTCGTATAAAGCTATATACTACTGGTTAGTTGACATCAGTAGTTGTATACTATTCATACTAACCTGTAGTGCTTGCTAGTCACTCAGATCGATGTGACCTAGACACCACTGGAGGGCTGATTTGATTCATATCAGACAGCGGAATTGTTCCAAACCACTGGATTTCTGGCTAGCTGTTTGAATGAACTAATGATACCGTAAATAATTTGCAAAACTGCGAATTTGACATTAAGAACACGTAAGTCAGCTTGGAAAATTAAGAACAGTCATACGTAATCAAGAGGGTTGAATAATCGTCTGGAAATAGTTGATAAGAGACGGAAAAAAGCAGTAGTGCTAAGACCATAGTAGTAGAAGAGGCTGGATGAAATGTTTCTGAGCACAAAGTTCAGGCTTCTTCTTAAGGATTGCTGAAGCTTCGGCTACATGAAGCACATGTAGGCGAAATTCTTTCGAATGACTTGATCGCACTTTACATACGACTCTGGTGCCGCTTGACCAGAAGTAATAGTATCCTCCAGAATTGAGCTGTTGCCTGTTCTATGTTTCTCTTTTGACAACGGTGCTGGTAATTGTTCATGGTCACATCTAAACAATATCCTGCCGGTATGGCCTATGTACTTAGCTCCACAGGAACAAGTGAATTGCTAAATAACACACTGAAGTTTCCAACACTGGAGTCTTATCTTTAACGTTTTGGCGAATAAGAGGGTGCGTAGCGAAGGTGAGGCGTAGAAAGACAGCAAAGGAAGTTCTTCGAATCGCTCTCGACAGGCAGCTTCATAGGACCTCATTAATTGTATCTCCCTTGAATTTCAGATTTAAAACTAGTTGTTTCTTCAGCACATCCAGATTTCGAGGAGTATCGGTCTTGTATGCCAGTCGAATTTTTGGTACACTTTAAAATCTTCAACCGGTCTGTCTCACAAGACTTTCTCCAGCTATTTCATTCATTTCGATGTCCTGTCATAATTATACTTAACTATCCGTGTTTTATGCAACCGGTTCCCTTTATAAGTTTGATTCAATTTTACTACACGGTATACTCATTAACTCAATCAAAAGTAATTAAGTATCCAGCTCATATGAACTCCCATTGCATTTACCAATAAACTTGCATTTGCGTTTACAAATTACATAAGAAAGACTGAGAGAAGAAAGTATACAAAATTTCCTGACGATATTATTAAAAGTCTCCATATGAAAGGTATCAAAGTATACTCAAGTGCAATTGCAAGAAACCTGATTGACATGAGACACACAGTGGAAATTAGTCAAGCTTTCAAAATAATCCATATGTAGAGAAAACCATGGTGTTCCTTTGTCTCTCAGACCTAACCTCTGTATGCACAGATAGTGCCAATAATATCTCACTTCAATTATTTTATTCGCATGCTTTTGTGTTTGGTTCTGTGGCTTCTTTTAGGTTGTGAATAACTGTGAGTACATTTTCCCTCCTAGAGAGAGTGCGTAATCAGTGATGAAAATATACTCATTAACAGTACACTAAAAATGCTGAGTCCTTGTGGCTCTTCTCTGTAGATACACAGGGGACACTGTTTCTAGACTCTTTTAGATTCTGTCTGTCTGTTTTCGACATAGAACTTTACACCGATGTGCGGCAGTTCAAGTCGCCACACTCCATGTAGCACACAAACCAAGAGAAGAAAGTAGAAAACCTGCATAATAGAGACAGTACACAGAGGTGTGAGGCAAATGAAGAGTAGTAACGAAGAACAATTTAGTTTCATTAGAAATAATAAGTCACAAAGAGTGGATGTATCTGCGCCAGCCATCACCGAGAACGATTTTGAGACATATCACCAATTGTTTCCAGCCATTGGTTTTTACCGTCCCGAGAACCCCAACCAGTCAGGAAGTCACCACCTTCTTACTTGACTGGCTTAAACTAACTGTTGTGGATTTCATTAACTGATGCCATGTTTTGATTTGACAGACACTAAATCTTTTCCAGCCTGACCTTATATCCACTAACATTGCTCGTCGAGGAAGGCGATGACTAGGCATACGTAACACATGTCCTAACCATCTCAGTCTATGTAACTTCACAATCTCGTCGATTGATTTCCCCTTCCTCCTTACCTACTACTTGACGCCTAACTTCAATATTACTCACCTTATTATACCACTTCACACGGGAGATAGAACGCAGGCACCAATGATCAAAGACAGCTAATCTTTTCATGTCTTCTACTCTCAATGGCCAGGTCTCACAGCCATAAAGGAGTACGGAGCTGACTGATGAGCAGTACACCCGCCCTTTGGTCGATAGCCAGATATCACGTCTACACCACAGACGGCGTAAACTGGAATATGCGAAACTAGCCCTCTGTATCCGTACTGAGATTTCGTCAGAGATCAACCTGTTAGATTGTACAACAGCCATTGTAAATAGCTAAGTGAATGACATCGCCGTTCACCGCTTCTTCACTGAAGTATTTATTTTTAATGACATGTTTAGATTGAAATATTTTGCAAATTATTCATGAAAACAAAACACTTGGTTCAACGAAGAGGCTCTTTTTGACGACGAATTCATTTCCCTCTTTAGCTGTACAATCGCATTTATGTACAATATCTCTTTCCCATGAAAGAGGATAGTAACAAAAGTGTTGAGTAGTTGTCATAATCATAGTCGTCAGTATTAGTCAATCCTAACCCCTAGAACGGTCAATTAGAGTAGACCACTAATAATTTAAAACTATACATAGATAACATTTGCAACAATAGTTATGACTCCATTCAATAGCTAAAAGTATTTAATAGGTGCCATCTTGCAATAAAATTCGCTCTTAAAAAATGGAAAACGAATTGAAAAGTTTCTTTCTTGACGTAGAACTAACAAGAAAACCTAACGGACCCTTGGTAACATCAGTCTAAAGGAAATCCACTTGGAACAGCTCGTTAATCCGTTTCTATGGTTAGACGCTCATTTCGAAAGGAAACGGGATTTAATTCAATCTCTTGCCACTCGGAACCGGTGCATCTGCAGTACTGACGCCCTGGAAGCAGAATTGTATTTTCTGTAATAAACCTTCATTCAAAGTGGATACCCACCAAGATTCATCAATAATAATATCAAACTAAAGGTCCAGAGGAACGAAACATTAGTTGTCCCAAAAAAGGGACTTTAAATGGACTTAGATTTCAAAGGAGACTTATCATCCGATGTCCTTAAGAGAAGAATTTCAGCAGAGCAAAAGAGTAGTGTTCTCCAGTCATCCATTGGTCTGCAGAAGCCTTCAGGATAAAATCTCTCTTTTGACCACTTCTGTGTGCCTATATCAGTTCACCTATTGCTGTGGAGTCAGGTACATTGGTCATTCGACGCTTATCCTGGCTAAAATGATTCCAGCACACTATGCCCCATGGCTGTAGAAGGGTTGTAGTGGTTCTATAAGGAGAGCCATAATGGAACACCCCGTCAACACTGGTCATTTCATTTCAAAAAATGCCTCCTTCACAGTATAATGCACAAAGTGAAGAATAAACTGCCAAAGGCGATACACTTTCGTATTCTTAGCATTTCTAAAGCTCTAAACATTCAATCCGGACATCCAGACAGAATATTGGCCTACGTAAGATAACACCCACTATTCCGTTTATCACCATTGTAGACTGTTCGATGATGATTTGAATCAAACACTACTGTGTAAAATATACTGAAATATACATTCCAGCTGACATCATTGTGTTCTCGTCTAAATAGTAAGGGCTGGAGACAACAGGTAGCTGCTGTTGTACATATAATGGTGTTGGCATGATCATGATCAGTGCGTCTGTGTCCGACTCGACGTCTGTATTTCAATTTCAATGTTACAGCAAAATATGAAAGTGGTAACATCCATAACAGAACTCGACTTTCAACCGACGGGTCATTGGTTCAAATACCACTCTACCTACTGCCGCCTGAAAGGTCATTGGGGAGAGTATCATCAGTCCTCAAACAGTAATAAGTGTGCCTCATGACCAGCCCAGGAGTACAGGAGAGAAATTTGTTCAAAGCAACTAAGATCATTACACAACTTAACCACAATTCTAAACACTACATGTTGACATACACAAAAAAGGGAAAAAGAACAAAAACAGAATAACAGAGTATATCGCGTTGAATAAACACTGGAGTTTGTTTCAAGCTTTATTACGGATTGATATCAGAAGAAAGTTGTCTGAAATTCTAGTGGAAAGTCGTGATAAATTGGGGGCACCAGGTCGAATGTGAGGACAAATACTCGCCGGTGATATTGCCTATTGGCCACACTAAAATCATCAATTAACAGGAGTTAGAATTCATGGGCCATTATTGTACTCCAGCCCAAATGGCTGGGGATATTCAACAAGGTTGGTGTTGTAGCCCAAAGGTTTTCCGTTTGATCCCCGGAGAGTTTGTCGGTGCATACTACCGAAGTATGTCAAGCTAGAACAAATCAACTATTCAGTAGTCCCTGGTTTTCAACAGTACTTGGTCACACTTGGAATCTTTTATTCTCATAAGAAGTTCAACAACCGGTGAATAAAAAAAGGTGTGATTACCATTTTGAAGCTGATTTTCAGTCGCATTTATTTCAAGCTGTCTTCGTTGCATACTTCGCAAACGTTGTTCACGTCGTCTTTTACTTCGTCCAGGCCTTCCATGCTGATAGAAAAAAACATAATAATAGTGAGGGGGAAAGAAGATGGAATTTGCATTATTAAGTATGATGGACAAATGTCCTTCAAATGACAGAGAACACACTATCACCTAATAATTACCAAGTCAGAGAAAAAACTAATTTGATGAACGAAATATTACCCCCACTGAGTCATAGGTAAGAGATATAACCAGTGAAGAAATTTTTTTCTTTTCGACGATTCATTTTCATAAGCTGTGCAATCGTAATTATATTTAATAAAGAAATCATAAGACCAATCAAATACTGACAAAATTTGTCCTCAAGATCGTATTCCGTGACTCAAAGTTTAATCTAGAAAAAGTGACTAATAGGAAATTAAAAATGGAGCAGAAGTCGGCATGACGTCTGTCTGTCTGTCTATTTTCGACATAGAACTTTACACCGATGTGCGGCAGTTCAAGTCGCCACACTCCATGAAGCACACAAACCAAGAGAAGAAAGTAGAAAAACTGCATAATAGAGACAGTACACAGAGGTGTGAGGCAAATGAAGAGTAGTAACGAAGAACAATTTAGTTTCATTAGAAATAATAAGTCACAAAGAGTGGATGTATCTGCGCCAGCCATCACCGAGAACGATTTTGAGACATATCACCAATTGTTTCCAGCCATTGGTTTTTACCGTCCCGAGAACCCCAACCAGTCAGGAAGTCACCACCTTCCTATGTGACTGGCTTAAACTAACTGTTGTGGATTTCATTGACTGATGCCATGTTTTGATTTGACAGACGCTAAATCTTTTCCAGCCTGACCCTATATCCACTAACATTGCTCGTCGAGGAAGGCGATGACTAGGCATACGTAACACATGGCATGACGTAATAAGCGTGAGAAAATGACCAATCACAATATGGTCGTGTAGAGTGGACGATAAAGTGTTTTTATAAAACGCACTGTTATTAGTGAAGAGTAGTAGAGTGATTTTTTTATTACAGCTTGATTCCACACCGTATTTTTGGTACAAGTATGGAATTTTCAGCGTGGATATCGGTAGCCCAAATTTCGCAGGCCGACCATAGATATCAGGTGTACATCGGCAAGTGACCATGTGCATGGCCGGCGAGAGTTCGAACCACTGTGTCACTAACGTATTTCAGATGGTAGAATGATAATAAAATAAGGATGATTGAGAGGCAATCGACAGGACACTCCGAATCAAGGTTTCCTGTGTTGTTGACACTTGTCAAGTAAAGTGAATTACCTGATTAGACAGTGTAGTTTGAAGACTTGTTTGTGACAAGGTGACTAGGTCACCAATGGTCTCATGCATTTTAACAAAGGGGAAATTCGTGAATGTCAATCGACTGCTTAACCTTGTAACTGTAGAGTTATAACAAGCGAAGTCACGTGAATCGATTTTAGGGGGAAATGTACTTAACCATACACTGAGTAGCGATGAGTATGCATCACAAATCTAGAGGAGTTGGTTAACTAGTGCTGTGCTAATCTCTCAATCTGAAATCCATAACGCGATACCTCAAGTAGTCCTAGATTCACACTGATAAAGACTCACCAAAGTAGGAGGATTGCTAATAGCGGTTTTTATGAAGTGTTGCTTGGCAGGGATTTGACTGGTGGTGGTACTGGACAGATTTTTTGTCCAAGGCTGTAACCAGTCAAATCCTTACACACCAACACTTGACAACTAACCTGATGCTCACTAGTAACTAGTTCTATGCAGGAATTTAGCTGGAGTTCTGGTGAGAAGTCGTAACCAGCAGGGTCCAACAGGTCAGGGAAAAGAACAGTCACTCGCCTATGACATTTTCTGGCAGTTGAGCTACATATATCGCGAAAAGACAGAAGTTGAAATTCATGGACGATTGCGTCGGGTCCCAGTGGCTGAATAGTCGGAAGGCGCCGGTTAGAACCCCAGTAGGTAGGTACTGATGAGGATTCCCACACCAGGACGATAAGGCTGTTGCATAATCCATGGCTTCCAAATGATCATGTAACTGATGTCCACTCAAGATCAAACTTGTAACTAATGGTTTTCCTTATGAAATGTCGATTCGTTACAAAATTAACCTTAAAATAGATAGATTTCTGCATAGGCTACGCAATAAAACGATTACACAGTTGGGATAATTATACAGGGAAAACCTTGACTGAAATTTTAAGTTCAATGATCATAGGTAGACCAACCTGGCAGAATTAGGCAAGCTGTAGATTCAGAACACGGTGTATAGTACAGATCACCTTGTGACAGATTCTCGAACACATGTATACTCGCATGCGTCCCACAATTGCCATATTTCTTTATCTAAAGGCGACAATCAACTCTATTGACTGATAGGTGCTGTGGCAATGTTTGATTGTGAAGGGAGTGCTGGGAAAGCATATATCGCACTAATCAAGGCACTGTATTTGAACTCATGAAGTTATGTAAGAGATTACAGAGAGTTAGGGATGCCCATTGTCCATATTTCTGTTTAATTTCATCAAACGCTTAATAACTAAATTGGTCTTAAATGACTTTAGAGACTTATGTATTGACTTACTACCAGGAAACAATCTTATCGACTTAAAGTATACGGATAATATTATCCTCATTTGAGGGAAAACGCTGATAAAATGCAGTCTTCTGGAATTGTGAGCAGAAATCATCGGATGTTTAGCATGTGATTCACTCTTATCAAATGTAAGGTGATGTTGTAGAAATGGATTACATTCCTGTTTTTCCATATTACTGAATACATGAAGTATGCGCGGTAATTTATCCCGTAGATCGTAAACAGAGCAGTCTTACACCTCTTCAGTTGTTTATTCCTATTTATCATACTGACTGACTCAGTTTCAAGATAGAAATTACACAGAAGTGCATCAATTCAGGTTACCATACTCCATCTAGCACAACTAGGTTACAGAAAAAGGAGATTCAAAGGAGAACTTTAATGGACAGGATTATGAGGGAGAAATAATAGTAACATGGAAAAACTTGAAGGTGTTATAATTATAGAAGACTACAATGTGAGAATACATCTGTGCCATTGAGGAGGATTTAGAACCTCATTACCAGTAGTCCCCAGCCATTGGTTCTTGGTCTCTCAAGGATCCTAACCAGACACCTCCCTATGTGACTGGATCAAACTGACTGTCAAAGACTCGATGGGATGACGCTAAGTTTTGTCCTGACCACGGCTAACTTTTTTCGAATCTAGTCCGATGTCAGCTAATACTACTTCGTCGTGAAAGGCATGCACATATGTCTTAATTTGGAAGTCGACCAACAGCTGCTTCCTAGATGCTGTGGTCAGACTTGCATATTACAATGACCGGACGGGCTATACAGATTGGAACTAGAGTTCCTGCTAGTCCCAGCAAGCCGGACAGGTCGTTTGGATAGCGGTTAGTGAAATAGCATCTACTATTATAGCGCGAGTGGTTAACGCTATGTTGGGCGAAGTCGTAGTGCTGGCAAATAGGGATTTAACAACAGTAGAGGGTTTCTGTTAGATGACCAGCAGGCCACCTACCCTGCCACTCCGCTCTGTAGAATGGGGGTCAGAATTGTACATCTTGAGTTACGCCGATTCATAGCCAGCGGCAGGATATTAATACGGCCACAAGTCTAAAAAATCATCTTAAACAGGTGTGTGACCAGACACAAGCAACTTTTCCCTGGGCTCTGCAGTCAGTCACAAGACACTTACACCGCTACTACCCAGAGGAAATGGCACTCATATAGCCTTATAAAGACATCAGATTTTAAATAAGTTGAACCTAAATCCTCTCTGTATTTTCACACACAAAAAGTAAATATCACGGTATACATTTGAAGGTGACATACAAATAACAATAAACAATGAAAAATCAATAAAGCCAATCAACTTACACCCTTCAATGCAGATTTCGGCAGATGGACTGAGTACTCGGTAACATTTATCAATATCTATAACAACATAATACGAATGAAACTTTAATTTTGAGAAAAACAACAATGAAAAAGCGTATATATATACCCGCATAGAGTGAGAAAACCTTCTTCATATCATGTAAGTAGATACATACACACGTGAGTACATCATGGAATTGTGGCACACATTGGTCTAGACATTCGACTTGTCAACCATAAAATCTCGAGTTCGAACCCCTCTCCACATACTGAACCTCAGATGGACAAGTAGTATGTATCATTAGTCACCATACACATATAGTATGGTGAAGGCTAGCTGCAAGCCAGAATTGTAGACAGCAATTTACGCCGATGTTTACGTCCCGAATCGGCGTCTAAATACAGCTGAAGAGCCCCAAACTAGAACGAAACAGCTGCCCAGTACTTCCAGGTTTTCCAGCGGTTCTCTAACGGATGTCAGCTCATGATGAAATCCTACATGCAATCAAACAAAATCCTTACAAAACCAATACCTGAAATTAATAAAGTTTAACCTTGTGGAACTGACCAACCAATCACGGCAGACTTAACGTGTGCAAATGCGATTGGCAAATATGTGGCTAAACTTTCTAAGAAACGGTCACAGAATAACTTCCAGCAAGAAAGCAACCAATCAGAAGTCGTTGCTTCTCTGCTAACAATAATGTACATAGAAATTTATAAATATCTCTTGATTTTTTCAATAAACCATCTATTGCCTGACCCTTGTCTTCTGCCGTTACAATAGGACTTACACTTGGACATGTTTATACACAGAATTCTGTACACCATTTTGAATAACTGGGCGAAAGAAGAGTGAAGTCGATTTGTAGCACACATGATCATAGAATTGATGTTAATGAAGCATTTGAAGTCATCTGTCGTGTTCTCATGAGATCGTCTTCTAAGCAGAACAGTAGCCTTAGGAAGCCGCCTGAAGGAACCAAACCTATGTGTACACGAAGGAATTTGTACACAACCATATTGTGTCTTTTTATATGGGCCATCTTTACATGAATATGGCAGCCGACAATTCCCTCTCTCTCTCTCCCTATTTCCTTTACACGTGATTATCTCATTTATTCTGCTTCCTTCACCTTTAATTATTCTTATGTAATCGATTTTATCAAATTTGATCATTCATTCTTCTTATTTCTCAACATATAAATTATTTAATTTCCAAATTCCTATTCACGCATTTAGAAAAAGCAACAGCGAAGATTGAGCGAAGAAATATATCCCTTTTCAATTAGTTCCTCATCATCGGCTTTACACGATAACATAATTTTTTACATCAAAACTTTACCGATCAAGTGGCTATTTTAGTTAATCAGTTATAGGTGTAGGGGGACGGGGAGATTAAGAACACCTGCTATTTTGGTTTGGTGAAGGTCCAAATAAAGCTGCTATACGCAGCTCAGTACTAGGTCATCTCATCGATACGGGACACCAAATCGATTCTAACAAAGCTTTTAAAGTTGTTTATCGTATATCATCCAACCTCTCTCCTCATGCTCTACGAGGACAACTTTACATACAGCAGAAGCAATCAGAATTATTCTGAACAAGCTAAATCTGTGTGTTCAAAGGAAATTTGTACAACCGCTCTCTTTGCTCCGTGGCCAACTACATATTATGTATTAAGTTTTTGAAAACGACTTTTTCCCCTTCCCTCGTAAATATCTTTTGACTTTGTTAATTTTTAGTATTCTAGCTAATTCTATTAACTTGTTTGTTTGTGTTTTACATATTTCTTTTGAGTCATCCTATTCCTCTTAGTTAGTCATCATTGTTATTCTACAAATTTCTTGATGATGTAATAACTTGTTACTAACGTCTAAGATTTAACTTATCTTGAATTTCAAGTGTTGGTTTGTAGGGATTTGGTTGATTGGTTACAGGATTTCATCACGAGCTGACATTAGTTAGAGAACCACTGGAAAACCTTGGAGTACTGGACAGCTGTTTCCTACGTTCTAGTTTGGGACTCTTCAGCAGTACGCACTCACCGGGATTCGAACTCAGAACCTTCTGGTTACAAGGCCAGCTCGTATACCATTATCCTGAATTCCATAATTAATTTTCACCGCTTCTTCAAAACTTAGATACTTTGTTACTAACATCTACTGTTTAATTGTTTTGATGACTCTTAGCCTCTTGATTTCACCTCCCCCCCCCACCATGCCTGAAATTGATTGACTAAAGTAACCACCTGACTGGTAAGACATTTAGATGAAAAAAACTAAATATTAGCGTAGAGCCAGCCGATGATGAAGAACTAATTGAATAGGGATATATTTCTTCTATGATATCAAAACAAAATTTACCAAGGAAGGTTTAATGTGATGACGAATTGTTTTTGAACGCATAAAGGTGGCTTGAACTTTCTAATTGCTAGGGCTTCTACAAACCTTAGGATACGCCCCAAACACGTTTTATAGATAGGTTTAAAAGATCTGTTAACATCAATTTTATGTCCTGTCTCTATAATATGTTTCGCAATAGAAGAGCTAGGTCTCCTGTTCTCATCGTTAATAGGTTCTGAAGATTCCATTTGTTTCTGGAGCCATTTAGGAATATACTCTGTCAATGTGCGAATCCCCAACGCATAAACTTGCTAAATGGTTAGTAGAATTATTGAATCCAGTCAAAACACAATTCTGTAAGTATGTGTTGAAAGATACATTTGAATTGATTGATGCTCTTGATGATATTAATATTATGAACAAGAATATGTACTCTTTTGATGTAAACTCGTTATTTACTAATGTGCCTTTGATCAAAACAGTTGACATTTTGTGTGATTATATTTCCACAAACAACTTTTTCATCCCGTTCCCTATATTTTACTTAAGGGATTTATTACTTCTATGTACTAACAATGTTAGGTTTACATTTGAAGGCGATTGTTTCCGCCAAGTTGATGATGTTGCTATGGGAAGTCTGTTAGGACTACTTTTAGCAGATATTTATATGTCGTACATTGAGAATTTATCGGAGGATTTAATCGAAAATGTGCCACTTTATAGAAGGTATTTAGATGATATCGTAGTCATCAGTGATAAGCCTTGTTCTGCCACCTCAATTTTAAATCGAATGAATGAAGTTCAGAATAGCATATCACTTACATCTGTTAGAAGAGGAAGATAATTGTTTATCTTTCCTAGACATATTGCTTAGTCGACGGCTTGATGGGTCAATAAAAAGATCTATTTATAGAAAACTTACCTGGACAGGACAGTACCTTAATTACCACAGTTTCTGCCCTATTCGGTACAAAAGAGGCTTAGTAAGGTGCCTCTTCAGTAGAATCCGACGAATATGCACTAAAGACACGCTCGATGAAGAAGAAAGAACATTGACACAAACTCTGGTTGATAACAATTATCCAGACAAGTTCATCAGGAGATATAAAGTAGTCAGAACACCAAACCCACTCTCGAACTCGCCCCTAAGAAAGACGTGTACATCAAGCTACCCTATATGGGACATCAAAGCAGCTTGATAACTAGACAAAGGCTGAACGCTGCTGTTAAAAAGACTTTTATGCAGCTAATATCATAATATTAGAGAATGTAAAGCCATTATGTATATATATATATATATATATATATATATATATATATATATATATATATATATAAGCCCTTCAAACATGCGAAAAATGACGTCACATCCCACTGTATTTACCAATTTGAATGTACGTGTGGACACACATACATAGAAAGGACTCATCGATCTCTGCAAGTAAGGGCTTCAGAGCATATTCCAAAATGGCTCCAGAAACAAATGGAATCATCAGAACCTATTAACGGTCTGTCTGTTTTCGACATAGAACTTTGCACATATGTGCGGCAGTTCAAGTCGCCACACTCTATGTAGCACACAAACCAAGAGAAGAAAGTACAAGAAAGGCATAATAGAGACAGTAAACAGAGGTGTGAGACAAAGGAATAGTAGTAACGAAGAACAACATAGTTTAATTGGAAATCATAAGTCACAGGGAGTGGATGCATCTGCGCCACTGAGAACGATTTTCAGCCATGTTACCAATTGTTTCCAGCCATTGGTTTTTACCGTCCCGAGGACCCCAACCAGTCAGGAAGTCTGCACCTTCTTACGTGGCTTAGACTAACTGTTGTAGATTTCATTGACTGGCGCCATGTTTTTGTTTGACCTCTACTAGCTCTTTTCCAGCTTGACCCTGTATCCGCTAACATTGCTCGTCGAGGAAGGCGATGACTGGGCATACGTAACGCATGACCTAATCATCTCAGTTTTTGTAACTTCACAACTTCGTCGATTGATTTCCCCTGTTTACCTAGAACTCGACGCCTAACCTCAATATTGCTCACCTTATTATGCCACTTCACACGGGAGATAGAACGCAGGCACCCATGATCAAAGACAGCTAATCTTCTCATGTCTTCCACTCTCAGTGGCCAGGTCTCACAGCCATAAAGGAGGACGGAGCGGTGAGAACAGGAGACCTAGCTCTTCTATTGCGAAACATATTATAGAGACAGGACATAAAATTGATGTTAACAGATCTTTTAAACCTATCTATAAAACGTGTTTGGGGCGTATCCTAAGGTTTGTAGAAGCCCTAGCAATTAGAAAGTTCAAGCCACCTTTATGCGTTCAAAAACAATTCGTCATCACATTAAACCTTCCTTGGTAAATTTTGTTTTGATACCATAGCAGATGTACTAATATCTCTGCTATTTGGTTTAGTCGTCTTCATTGTAATTTTAACCTTGAATATATTTCTTCGTTTAGCCTGTTTTTTTTATTCTAAATATATAAATTATGAATCTCGACAAGATAATGAGAAGACATAATTTATCTGAATCGGGTAATGTATTTGTTTACACAACACATTACGAACAATCGGTTCACACCACGTACTTGTCATACGAATTTATAAGAAAGTAATGTCTGTCTGTCTGGATTCAACATAGAACTTGGCACCGAAGTGCAGCAGTTCGAGTTGCCACGTTCCAATTGGCACACAAGGT